GTCGTACTTTTAAGAAATCAGAACGGAGAAAATAAAAAGGTTAAAAGGCCATCACGCCTACCCCAAAGAAATACAAAGCGTCAGACACACATACACACACTTTTAGAAATATGCGTATATCAAGTGTGGTTTGAGTAGGATAAGTCAAGAGCAAATGAGAATAAAGCAAGATCACAGTGTTAGTATAAATACATACAAGGATACAAATGGTGTAGACGCAAAATGCGAAAAAAGCCAACCTGTCTTAAATGATATCAATAGATATCCTGAGGAAATCAGATTAAAGAGAGTAAACAATAAAAAAGTTGAGTAGCTTGATGGAGAGAAGAAAGTAAGAAGATAATAGAGACAATTGATGATCCAAATGATAGCCGAGGCTGTGGTTAGTATGTCGGCTAGACAAAGGCACATCAGACTCAGAGATCTAGCATATTCAGGAACTTTCCTGATTCAAGTAAAACCTAACTTGAAATATTTTTCTCATTCTCATTTGATTTAAGCATAAGATTAAGGAAGATACAAAAGAGAGGACAAATACCTTATAATTCGCCCAAAGTAGTAAGCATAAAACATATGCATGGTCCTGAGTTCATGCGTGGGAGAGATAAGGAGGTCTTTCCAACATTAAATAATGAATTATTATGTATCGATTGTCACTGCTTTTCCTTAGATTCGCACACAATAGTGCATAAAAAGCACAAATCTTTATAAATTCTTTCCTAAAAATCTCTTGCTGGCCTCCTCAACAAGAGGACACTTAGGCAGTATTATATGACAAAGTTGAAGAACATAGAAACAATCAACAGCAGTCTGGAAATAAGAATTTGATGTAGGCAAAGCAAACATATTTTACATGAATATCTTTGAACTCAAGTGAAAGAAGAAAAGATAGACATTAAAAAGGGAAAGTAAAAATAAATATTAAAGGTTTATTCGTAGACAAAGTCGATAAAAATGTTTTTTAAAATAACATTAAACTAATGGATGATTTAGAGTCGAACAGGCCGGGTGAAGGCCAGGAAAAGTAAATTCTAAGAAGAAATTGGAGAGATCATGAGACGAAATAATGATAAGAAGCATTAGTTTAATGAACAATAGACAAAGCAAAGGCATTATTTCTAGAGAGAAAATATTTACCATTGTTGCCTTATCAGAAGTATTCTAAACTAATTGCTGCTGTCTACTCTAATTAATTACTGTGGAATTTAGCAAATAAGCAAACTCTAATAGCGATATGGCAGGTTGATACCTATCAGCTATGATGAAAAGTAAAGAGGCAACAGTTTTAAATTCCAGCACTCAGTTAAGCAATTCGGTGGATAGTACAAGGGTAGAGAAAGTTAAATAAAGAGAACCACAAAGAGTAACGAAAATTGGGCATAAAGAAAAATAGGGTAAAAGATGAAAATCATAAAATCATGTGAAGGCAGATAAACAAATAAGTGAGAGACAAGCTTGAGATATGGCGCTAGTCATGTTATTCTGTTCATAACCATTAATCGCAAAATGTCCCTTAAATAATGAACAAAGCAAGTCGATGTGTCAAGAAGAAATTGTTTTGAGAAAAAGTATGGGAGATGTTTTACATGAATTATAGGAGTGCCCTGAGAGTAGGGGAAAAGGAGAACAAATGAAGCACCGGAGTAATAATATCTGAGAAGCTAGAGTGAAAAACAAGTAAAAGCACCTGAATGGCATTCCTGAATATAATCCTGAGGGATATTAGGTGAAGCAAAACAGGAGTAAAAGTAACAAAGGGACTAGAGACGGTATGAAGAGAGGGTTTTGGGTTAGAGAACAGATAGCTCACGGGTATCGATATTGGACTGCGAATGTCGTCCAAAATGGAAGATAAATGAAGATTTTTAAGAATAACGATAAAAGTATGACTATTAAAGAATATTGGAGAGAAAAGACGACATACACACTGTTGAAAATAAGTATAGGCGCTTAGATAGTGGGGCGAATGAGGGGGCCGAGAAAATATCCATGACTATACTCATCTTCTTACTATCAAAATGAGTATTGCCGACAAAAGCAATCAATTAGATTTCAAGTACTCTTGGTAAGGCTACGTCGTACACTAATTAGTTTCCCATATCTAGGAAACCTCTTAGATCAAACCTGTCAAAAGTGTTAGCTATTCTTTTGCCAATTATGGCATTCAATCTTCCCTATGGAAAGATCAATTATGGTCGTTGTTCGTTTCGGCTGAGTTTGGTAGAGATAAACCATAGGCTGGTAGGTGTACGTTCATCTGTGAATACGCTTGTGTCTGCACTTGCGCGTGTGATTGAATCTGCTCTGTTCGGGCTTGAGCTAACTCGCACTCTTCAGCCTCTGTGAGCCGGAACATTTCAGTATATAGGATTGGGAAGTCGAGTTGTGGTTTAGCGGTTCGCAGTTTCGCAATAACCTGGATAGAGCACAAAAAGTGAATTTAAAAGCAAAATTAGTACATAAAAATGCTGAAATCATGTGAAAAAATAACAATTATATTTTGTCGTCGTTATGAAAATTGTTATAGATGAGACGAAAGTAATCCAGTGTATGAAAATAACACTAAAGTAAATAACAAAGAAGACTGCGACCACACAAAAGGCCACACCATCTTAGTCTTCATAACTTTGATAAAAAAGGTAATTTGATTGCAATCATTCGGCACGATGTGATATGTTGGATGAAAGTAGAGTGCATGTAAGAGGGACAACTTCAGATCCTTCTGATTTAGTATCCTCCAATAGTTATCAAATAATTTACCCAATCTAGTGTGATGGGTACCATATTTTAATAATGAATACTAAAATCCACCCCTGAAAATAGATTGTGTTTATAAAGTGACGAATTCAATACACAAAACATAGAAAAGTTTTAAATGACGCAAGATAACGTATAAAAAATTATTTATTTTTTCACTCCTCACCTGATGGTGTTCTGTATTCATATCATCCAAAAGAGGAGTGAGGCGGCGTAGAACACTCATCCTAAGAGGTACATCTCTTCCGGCTGTAAAAATAGGAAAAGAATAGTAGAGTCATCCAGTAGTATTGAGAAATTTTCAATTATAGATAAGTTTAAGTATTTATATGAATGGTTCACTTTCGTTCAAATAATGGTGGCAAGAATCAAGTCACTAGTTCAGGACGTTAGTCCTAACATAAGAATAAGGGTTTGTATAAATTGCTTGAAACAAAAGTGCTATTAGGATAATGCCTAAAGCAGTAAAGATTAATTTAAGAAATGAACTCGATGAAAAGCGCCGTTTTTATGCCATGAAATCTATGCTTCAAGGGAAAAGTGACACTTTTAAATATCAGCCAACGACGAGAGAAAAAAATAATTTAAAACGTTTAAAAAACGTATCTATGATTTTTAAAATGCTAGCTTCATCTAAAAGTAAAATAGTAAAAGTTATTATAAACTATGATTAAATTAACGCTGATTCTTAGTGCTAATAATCATTAAATAATAAATGGATTATTCCCAACGAACGTGAGGCTCAAACTCGTCAGTGAATCAATGATTATCATCTTGCACTTTATAAAACAAGATAATAGCCCCCTTATCTTCGTGTAAGTTGACTCTGAACGAAATCATATGGACTATATGTCCTCTGAATGATAAAAACACTCCAATTGATTGGGAGTGACTTAGAGCCACAAGTGTAATCTCTCTCTTACCTGCAGTTAGATTCTTAAAGACCAATAAATGCAAATTTATTCAATTCAAAAGTCAAGAGAAATAAGCAATGTGGGGTGACGAAGGCCTATAATGCAAGTCACAGGGTTATATAAAATAGAGGCAAGTCTAATATATTAGATAAAAAGGCTACCGCTTCAGGTTAAAAAATAAGGAAAATACAAAGAAACTTACTACTGTCTATATGGGCAATAAGTGCATTTCTGGAAAGAACACATAACTGATGCACAGCTATGGAATCAGACAAGCCCTGATGATCTACAAGTTAAAGAAAATTAGATGAATATGCATTTAAAGACAAGTCATAAACTTTAAATGAACGAGAGATCTTGTATTCAATAATTAATACATATTATAGGTATAAAAGGTGTAAATTATTGCCAACACTACGGCGCTTGGTCAATCCAGCACTAAGTAGTCGCAAGCGATTAGACTATGTCCCTTATACCATTATGCAGCTAAATTCACAAATGAGAGAAATGATATTCAGATACAACATGTTTTTGAAATAATGCCCCAATATAAATTCAAGAGGATAGCATAAGGATACAGCTAAATCGGATGCTACTGCTGTAAACCAAAAATCAATCCACCAAAATTAAAGATATGGTAAACTTTCAACATAATAAATGAAAAATTATGCCGTTGGCTCTGTCCATTTGATTCAAATAGATTAGCATCGAGTCGCCTAAATTGATTTGATCCAGACTCATCAATTATCCTTCCTTATGCTTTGACCCATCCATTTATTTATTCTACTATGTATATAAAATACGATCATATGCCAGTAGGCTGGCAATCTCACAAGTCGTTAGTGAGAATAATTTTACGAAATGTGTTTTAGGCTGAAGTTTATAAAATGTGAGCCCCCAATAAATAGTTTAGCCTAGTTCTAGAATGGCAGCAAGATAAACCAAATGACATCCAATGCCATCGAGCTAACTTAAACGTCTTCAGATCCTAATCAATGTCTAGTCACAGAGAATGCCCGCATCAAGCAAGATTTAGTCAGTAATTCAATATTATCGGCCCAATCATGATTGCTAAGTTAATATAGTTTGTTCAGATTGTTGAGGACAATTCTCCAAGGCATATCATGGATTTAAGTGCTGTCATAACCGACCTTACGAGGTTGGACTCAATGAGTGATAAAATATATCCAACAACCGATCGGCTAAGTTATGGAATGAGTTCACCCTATTTCGTTTAAGGTAAGGAAGGATTGGTAGTTCACTTTTCCATAATTTCAAATGAAAAATAGAATATGGAAACTGAAATGACTTTTCCTCCATTAAGTTTAAATCATGATGAATATACCAGGCCGAATAGTGCTACTTAGTTCTATTAAAAATTTAGGTCTTAATATTAAGCAAACATCAAAGCATGACGTCGAACTATCTTTATAGGCTAGGACCAAGAGACTTTATTAATCACGAAGAAGAAGAATGAGAACATGAATAACTGATATCATTCTCTAGACCTACGTTAGATTCCAATTGAGGATAAAGTAATTTTGCTACATTTCTCATCTAGAATGCGTAAGAAATATAATAAATTGTGCTCGATTTCATTCATGGTATGTAATTCAGCATTAAATGTAAGGATAGGGCAAAGTTTGGGCTGAAATTGCATTTAGTATAAAAGTGCGAAGATTTATGATATTCAAGTGCTATTTTGATGTTTAGAATCAAAGTTTAACAGAAAAATAATAAGACTGAATTATTATCCCCTTAATCTTTCTAAATCCAATTAGTCCCAAAATTATGGCTTATAATATCTTAAACTTATTTTTTCATCGTATGGATCGAATAAGATTGTAAATCTTAGAGCTCAAAAAAATTATAAAAACCCAGATCAAGAACAAATAAGTCAAATATACCTGTTTTAAGGCTTATATTTGTTTTATCTAAGAGAATAAAAGAGTATCTACGGCAGTCACTACATGATGTAAGGCTCTATTTAACAATATTACAAAAATATTTCTCTTAAGTAAATAGAAAATAAACTTGAGCAGTTATGCTAATAAACAAAAAAAATCGGGATGAAAACAAATCTGGATATGGTATTAAAAAATCTTTAAGGTCATTTCGACAACACCTAAACATAAAGAAACAAGAAAGGATTCTTAAAATGTCCAAATTGCTTTAGTCAAAATATTAATTCGAAATTGAATATCAATAAGAAGCATGCGAAGGAGAAAGGTCGCAGATAACGAAAATAAAATGAAATATCTGTGATTCTCATGATTTAGCAGCATGAATATGTGCTATTTAAGTGAATATATATAACCGGTTTTGAAAGAGATTTCTAAAATAATATTCCATCCATTTATTGAGACGAATAATCAACACCATATTGATAATGAGCAGTTGCTAGATGATAAGAGTAGGTCTTGATTAAGAACTTAAGGTATCATATATCACTTTAGATAATAAGACTGGTAGCCAATCTTACCATAATGAAATGAGAAGGCCCCATCATGCTATTGAATTTCACTAAGCCTTGTTGCCCAGAATTTATTATCATACAGAGTGGAGTGCAGTTTTATGTTCACCAGGGTCTCATCATCATTCCGACGGGAATTAAATCAGTTTAGTTAAGACGACGATCAGAGATTCGTCTGATTATTCTTAATTGAGAAAGACGATGCTGATATGAGAAGTGAAAGTTAAAACCACCCTCCCACAAGTATATTAAGCAAGCCAAATATTTTCAGAACGTAGAACAAGTAAAATAGGAACTTCTCTTAAGACAAAGACAATAAAATAAAAGAAAGTATGAGACAATTCGCTCCCAGCTATTTCGATTGGTAAGAATTTTAAATATGTTTATGTTTTGAAATCAGCAGATAAAATGGGCCCTCGTATTACGAGGGAGTTGATTAATCAAAACTTATCTACATAACTTGTCAGCAGGTATAATTGCTTATATAAAACAATAAATGAAAAAATACCCAGACATTAATCATAATAAGAAAACAAGTTGAAAAGACATAACCTTACGGTTATGTGGGTTTAATACAAGCTATCCAGCCCGAGAATAAAAGGTACTCAGAAAAACATTAAAATGTATTTTCCTTTATTAAACGACCAGTTATTAATACCTTAAGCAAAATAGGATGAATATAGCTCTTATATCATAAAGATTAGGTGGCAATATGCTTGTGCAGGTATCAAAAAGCAGTATGCCCAATCCCTATTGGGTAGTAGTAGTGTAAGATTTATCCTACTTCACACGATCCAGATCCATGTTTGTTGTCAAATAGAAAAATATTCACAGTTAGCATGACTACAGGTAAATTTGGCATCAAAATAATAATGCAGATTCGGAGCAAAAGCAAGGCTCATATAATTATTGAATCATTGAAACCATGAATATTTAATTCTCTTGCATTTTGTAAAGGGACAGAATGGATGACTAAGTTGATCTTATCTAGGCAATCGTTCTTGACATATATATGAATATCAACTTTTTACAACTAAGAGAGAAATTAATCCAAAACATGTGACATTCCAATCTTCCACTCGATTCTAATGTTTATTAATAGTAGAGTTAAAGAATAAAAATTTTATATCTATTATTCGTCTCAATAAATAAACGAAACAATATCCTCGAAATCTTTCATCTTTTCTGAAGCCGTTTTTATATATCCACATAAGTAGCACATATTTAGGATGCTAAACCATTAGATGAACCTATATTACATTTTTTTTATTTTCGGTGACACCAAACTTACTCATTGGGATGCTTCTTGTTGATAGACAAGTAAAAAGTAATTAATGTTGGAGTACCGTCCATTTCTTTTGATGAGGCGAGTAAAAGGGATTCGTATGTTGGTTCCCTCGAAGGCTATGAGGGGTTGTCTATGAGCTGTAGCTGTAGATATGCGCGAACAGATCCTCAGCGCACTGCCTTTCGACCCCAATGAATCCTTGCTGAGCTTTGTTCGTCATGTGACGGACATCTTCAGAGCAGGACACCATGCTTAACGATAATTCATTAAAAACACGAAGGCAAGAAAGGAGGCCGGCTGTAAACCAACTTCCTTCTTATATTACGATTCGGTACATTTAGGCATTTCCTGTTTTGGTTGGATATCCTATGCTTTGATTCTATATTTGCTCATAAGTTAAGTTGCTGCAGATTACGTGTGAAGTGGTTACAGATGAAGCGTAAAATGAGTGAAATTAAAATAAAACAGCTGCATCCCGCCTAAAACACGTATGTCCTTGATCCTACAATGTTACCACATGTGATTACGTCCCATTTCACGTGTTGCGTGAG